TTTTACCTTGAAAGAATCATGGTGCTGGCAGTCTCTATTGTTTGCAGAGAAGGGATGGATAACATGACAGGACCAGTCTGGGACCTGGGACCTGTGTTCTGGTCCCATTACACTTATATTACTTCAACCAAAGCACAAATAAATGTCCCAACCTCTATGACACTTGACACTCATGCCATTTTGCAGTAGAGCACTACGTGTGGTTATTATTATATTTGTATGATTGTACTAAACCTTGCTCCAGTTATGCAGCTGGTGATTTTCAAACTCTGAAAATAAAGAATAAAAAACAAAATAAAACACGAGTAGTGTGCTAATGCCTTCAGGAAGTTTGTACAATTGGTCACTGTGGCGGTCACCCTGAGAGAGGAGGGGTATCCACATCCAGAGATGTCCTTTTACCCTAGTGTGGGTAGTGCTGTAGTATTCCCATGTCGATCTCCAAGCAAGCAATAGAGCAAGTATAGCTGTAAAGCTCTTCTAAGAGCTAGTGGTTATAACAGGTCTAGAAAAAGGATAGAAAGGTTAGCGCTAATAATAAAAAATATAGGATAAAAGGCAGCGGCCTTATAGGGGGTCACCCTCTGACCCTCTACAGTAAGGATATATACAAGAGCAAAGAACAAGGCTGCGCCAAAGTGATTAAAACTAGTCCAAGTAAAATAATAGAATGTTGGATAAAAATGTACTCAAATAAAGGAAGTCCCAATAGTAGATGGTGTCTTTAACTGATATGATGTCTTCCTTTTTATGGTGGTAGTCGTCCGTCTCACGATATGAAAGACACAATGAGAGAGAGCCAATAGTGCAGAGTGTATAAATAAGTAGTTTAAATTAAAATATAAATTACACACTCACATTTCCATGAGCTAGGACTAGCTCTAGTATGGTGGGCATACGGCGGATAACCCTCCGCTTATAGGGGTGCTTGTCCTCCTGGAGAGTCCTGGTGTCCAATTCTCAGGGAAAGAACAATATATTAAAAACCAATAACGCGTTTCGCCATAGAGGCTTTATCAAATTGGAGTGATAAAGCCTCCATGGCGAAACGCGTTATTGGTTTTTAATATATTGTACTAATAAATAATTTTACATTTATTATTACTTCTACTTCATTTACTGTTCCTGGCATATCCTAAGGTGGGGATTATACCACCCAAGCGAAAAACAGAGTGCAGATTGACTTGCACTCTACTTGTGAGTATATTTTATTTATTTTTATTCCTTTTATCAACTACCTCACCAGAGAGCACTATTGGCTGTTTTTATTTTCTTTCCCTGAGAATTGGACACCAGGACTCTCCAGGAGGACAAGCACCCCTATAAGCGGAGGGTTATCCGCCGTATGCCCACCATACTAGAGCTAGTCCTAGCTCATGGAAATGTGAGTGTGTAATTTATATTTTAATTTAAACTACTTATTTATACACTCTGCACTATTGGCTCTCTCTCATTGTGTCTTTCATATCGTGAGACGGACGACTACCACCATAAAAAGGAAGACATCATATCAGTTAAAGACACCATCTACTATTGGGACTTCTTTTATTTGAGTACATTTTTATCCAACATTCTATTATTTTACTTGGACTAGTTTTATAACAGGTCTAGCTGTTCCCTACAACCACGAGATGAGGCTGCGTGTTGAGGGTGCAGTGAACTGATCTTAAAGGGACCACACTTGGCCTTTTATGACAATCCCCATGCAAGGGGTACTCCCACCTGGACCTAATGGAAGACTGTAGTACAATGTCACAGACCAATGACAACGTTGTTAAAATATATGACACTCCCATACATATCGTACAATCCCTCCCCTTGACTTGTTTTTTTTTATATGTATTCACTTTTTGTATCACACAGCTATGTTACAATGCTGCCGCCCATTCCATGTGTTCCTTATTAAGGGTTAATAAATAAATAGGGGTGTATATAAAAAATACCCCTCTCTGTTTCATTAAAGATATCTTTGCCAGAGGCTCAAGGAAGCAGGGTGAAAGGTCAGTGTAGGGGGTCACTTAAGGGGGTCTGCCTTGACGTTGGCAGGCAGGCATTCCCTCCAATGGCCATTGGAGTAACTAAATGACTTCCATTTGTTTAAATATACATAAGGATTTAGGAGAGAGTGCAGGTAACTTTTTCTTTGGTTTTTACTGTATGTATTGGGGCTGATGTGTACTGTGGTCGTTGCTGCCACCCAGGAGTGATGGGAGTGAGCAGGACTTGTTTTTTTTATTTGTAATCCCTCCCCTCTGCCTAGGAGATAATTGAGTCAAGCACTGTACTAACTCCATAATCTCTAGGCGAAAAACACCCCCACAATTTTACAGGCAACCCATAAGTACCCCAAAACTCACATGAACACCACAAAAAGTATATCCCCTGATAGTTCTGATCTGGGTGACCAACATATCCAAAAATAACCCAGATCGGTTCAGGATTTCTATGGAAGTCTTATTACTGACCGACCGCACACAAGGGTCCTGCCCAAAATAGTTCCATAGATTCAGACTGTGCGGTTGGTATTTTTCGGGAACTTCAAACACAACAAAATACCTACAAAAATAGCAGTTCGTAGAAAAGCTAGTCGTGTGCCCCTTGTTCGGGTGTTTGGTTTCACCGAATGTCGTTCCAGAGACTCAAACCAATCATACTTGCACCTGAAAGTTCCAGCGGTCTTCGCACAGTCGAGTGGCGTTCGCGGAGTTAAGATGGCCACCACCTTGTGTTTGGCCATAAGATTGCCGGCCACCCAAGCGACCACTTAGAATGTTATTGATTTTGTGGTTTTCGCAAGTGTAATTGTTCAGTTCACAAATTAGGTTTTGTTCGGTTAAGTTCAGATCAGTTAAATAAAACAGTGATTTAGGGACAGGGAATTTGTCACAGTCACTTTCTAACATTTAGTGTTGAACGAAACTTATTTTTGGAGTTTTCATGTATGAAAAACACAAAAGTGGCCAATCTCGCCACATTGCATTGGAGAAGCCTGGTTGCCCGCCTGTTGCCTCTGGACTATGGCCCCATGTTAAAAAGCTTGATTTTCCCCTGCAAAGACACAAAAGCCGGGTCATTCGGTGCTTCCCCTGTTTGAGCGGTGATACCCCAGATAGCTATGCCATGGAGCCCATTCGTATAATGAAAGACTATGGGAAAGACTTTGGCTCCATGGCAATTGAACTGTGTAGCGGAGGAGCAGGGGTTAATCCAATAGCTCTCCGCTGGGAACAAAGATTCAGCATACAAAATCACAGGAACACAGCATAATCCACCTCCCCAAGGACTAGACGACACATAATCTGGGAGTCAACTGTCAGCTTTATTCACATGTCTGCTTTTATGCATTTCTCCCATGCAAGGGAGGTAACTTTCATAATTATTACAGTAGCCAATCATAATACGGTCACCTCCCATCCCTCTCCTCCCCTTAGATTAGCACTTAAACAGATTAATGGGGACAGAGTTTTCCCCACTTTCTGGATGTCCCCTAAATACAGGGGGTACAGGGTTAAATAAAGGGTCCCCTGGTAGGTCTGATCTGGGTGAGCAACATACTCGAAATTCACCCAGATCGGACCAGGGGTTCGGGAGTTACAGGCAGTTAAAGATTTGACCGACCGCAGGGACTCAGTAGCCGAAAACAGTTCCATGAATTCTGGCCCTGCGGTCGGTCTATTTTAGTGAATGAAAAATCCCGAACAGCTCAGCCATCCATGCGACTGATAGCATTCGTATGAATCCCCTCTTTAGGGGATTCTATCTACCGAACGCCGGGGTGTTCGTGTGTTTAATTCATGCTGTCGGAGCATGCTGGAGGTCTTAGCGGTACTTGGTTAGTCGAATGCCCGGTTTGAGTTCCAGGCGTTCGACGACCAAGTACCGGTGTTCGTGCGTAAGATGGCCGCCCCCACGTGTTCGGTAGGCGAAATGGCGGCCACACATACAGGTACTTAATTCCCTTCGCAACATTGTATCGTTCAGATAATTGGAAACACACTGTAACAGAACTATGATTGTGCCTATACTTTTGCCTGCACTTAAATAACAATGCTGCTGGATGTGTTAAACAAAAACCGAATGGCTAGTTTTCGTGTAAATATTCCTACTGTAACATACAGCCCAAAATACCGAACATCAGACCACCCAGGGGAACAGTTAATTGATATTTTACCTCCCAGTGATTGTGGAGCCGTTCGCATGGTTCATACGAATTCCTTTGTGCTCAGGTTAGATGGCCGCCATTTCAGGACTTTACACGTGTTCGCGGCCATCTTACGCACGAACGGCGGTGTTTGCCTGTGAACGCATGGAACTAAAAACGGATACGCAAACAGGCGAACACCGCTGAGACCTCCAGGAGCTCGTAAGTTCGTGCTGGAGCTACCGAACGACCGGCCGTTCGGTAGTTTTGTTTAAGCATTCATAGGGATTCAAGCGAACATCAGGATGACTGTGGATAGCAAGGGGTTCGTGGGGTTTTAATGCACGAACGGAAACCGACCGCAAGGCCAAAACTTATGGAACTCTTTTCGGCTACAAAACCTGTGCGGTCGGTCAAAACTTCAAAGATCCATAACTCCCGATCCCCTCAACCGAATGGGCTGAAATTTGGATATATTGTTCCCCTGAGTGAGCGCTATTACTTAAAGGTGTACCCCATTTTTGGGGTACATCCAGAATGTAGTTAAAATTGTGTCTGTTTGAATTATGTTATATGTTATCTGAGGGGAGGAGACGTGGGGGTTGAACCATGTATCTAATTGGCTGTTGTGATAATTATGTGGGTGTAGCCTCACAGAGGGCACTATTGCATAAAAGGAGACCCCTGTCAATAAACATCAGTTCTACTTGACCCTTCAAAACGTAGCCTTGTCTCGTTCTTGGAGGGGATTTATGGTACCATTACTCTGCCTCATTTTACAGCACTGCAGCTTGCCTAGAAAAGGTACCCCCCTACAGCAGTTTACACACACGACCACCCTGGGGTGGTCTCCCGTTCGGTAGTTTCGGGCATTCACATAAAAGACAGCAAAATAACATTAAAGTCTGTTCGTGCAGTTATTCACTTGGTTTACCATCCATTCGCACAGAATAATTAGTCCAAGTGGCAGGGTTTGCCACAAACTGTATGTGTGTTCTCTGAGCGCCATTCAGTAAGAATGTGCGCTCAGATCTGAGCTATCTGGGGATATGTTGAATGTACTTGTTTTGTGCAATGGCTGCACAGTTATATGTTTTTATGTGTTTTATTGTCTTTTGCTGCCATGTGTTCAATGGAGTTTTGCCTCTGTCCTTGGAGATAATTGGATTACTTCCCAATTATCTCCAGGATAGAAGACTCTATGGAACTGGTTTTGGGCAGAAATGCCAAGCTTCCTTTGGTCACAAAGGACTACGATCTATTTTTTGAACCACTGGACCAATTTGGATGATTTTGACATATGTTTGTATTTGGAGTATGTTGATTCTGAAAATGTATGTGAATGTGATGCATACTTTTAAAGTTATGAATAATGTGGAAAAATTGTATTTCTCTGCTGGTGATAATTGCATTACCCATTGTGTAAGGTAATTGCATCACTGGCAGAGGGGAGGATTTTGTGTGGGAGTGTCTGAGTGTATTGTACATGTTTATAGGTTGTTTTCCAAAACCCTGTGGGTGGTACTAGTGTGTAAGAATGTGTACATAAGAACAATAAACCCAGAGCTCTGTCTGTTCACTGCTTGACCCTCAACATGGAGCTTTGTCTCGTTCTCGGGGGGTTTTATTGTATGCTGTTCCAGTTCGACTGCTAGGAGCGTAAACCTATTCGTATGGTTTTTCCTATTCGGCTGTTTACGGCATTCATATGGTTTCCTGTTCGGCGGATTGGTGTTCTGCAGTAGCTGTGCCTGTGTCTCTGGAAGGGAAGATCTACTAAAAGGTGGTTTAACCCTTTTATGCTGGGGTTGCCGTTACACGTGCGTTTTAAGATGGCCGCACACGAATCCCACTTAACAGTATCTGCAACATTGTTGCCTTTCGGTAATGAGGGGCACACGATCACATTGGGGTGGTCCCTCATTCGGTATTTTAAATTGTTTCCCGAACAGGGCAGTGAATATGGTTCGGGAACAGATTGCCTGATTATAACACTCCAAATAACAATACAACTATTTTACAAGTCCCGAGCATAGCTCATTCGTATCCCGAAAGTCCTTTTCCAGTCCTTCAGTGGCTAGGTTTGCCACAATGCTCCCCCAGAACCAAGCCGGCATACACAGTCTGATCCCAACGGATCGGCTTGGGGATGTCCGGAGGAGGGCTCACAGATCATTTCTCCAATTCTGTCTGTCTAGACAACCCGTCGGCGTTGACGTTTTGTTTCCCAGGGCGGTATTGAATGGTGAAACCAAAGGGCTGCAGCGCCAAACTCCAGCGCAGCAGCCTGGCGTTGTCTCCTGACACTCTGTTCAGCCACACCAATGGTTGGGATCTGTGAGCAGTGAGAATTGTTGCCCATATAAATAGGGTTGCAGCTTCTTGAGGGCCCACAACACAGCCAGACATTATTTCTTACTTCCCTGGGTAAAAGTTTTCGGCTTAAGTAAGCTACTGGATGCTCGCCGCCATCGGCCCCAACTTGGCTCAGCACTGCTCCCAATCCAAACATAGAAGCGTCTGTATGGACGAGAAAGCGTTTAGTTGGATCGGGAGCAGCAAGTACAGGTGCATTTATGAAGGCGTTTTTCAGTTCCTGGAATGCCTGTTCACACTCTGGGCTCCAGGTAACTATCTTGGGAAGGTTTTTATGGGTAAGGTCGGTGAGGGGCTTTGCTATGGCGCTATAGTTGGGCACAAATTTCCGGTGACTACCTTGCTACCAAATTCTAGGGGTGGTGCCCAGGGACCAATAGGGTGTGTGTGGTTGTTGCTTACCTGAGCCTCAGAGTGGTTGGGTGATGCGGTGGTGCGGGCCTGCTGCTGGGTAACGACTGGTAGAGCTTCTTGTGCTGGGTGTTGTGGCACAAAGGCCGAAGTCAGCTCTCCCCAAGTCATTGCCCAAGATAATGTCAGCCGGTAAATCCTGCATAAGGCCCAGTTCCACGTCCCCTGCACCCGCTCCCCAATCCAAATGTACCCTGGCAGTGGGAATTTTGTATATAGCTCCCCCTGGGTTGTTGTATCTGGGTGGTGGTTGGTAATTCCCCCCACCGGGACGGGGTGACGGGGTTGTGGCGGTAGCTGGAGGTGGTGCTGCGGCCCCGGTGGTGGGCCGTGACTGAGCCCGTTGTGCCCTTCTGGCATCTTGGTACTCATCCGCCAATTTTGCTGCATCGGGTAAGGTATGAGGTTTCCGATCTCTCAGCCAATTCTGTAAGTCCGGGGTCAGTCCCTGAAAAAATGGTTCCAATAAAAGTAGCTGTAGCATGTCTTCTACTGTAGTGGCTTGCGCCGCTTGGATCCATCCCTTGGCGGCCCTGGTTAAGCGGTGTGCCCACTCCGTGTGAGAGTCCCGGTCCTGTTTTCGAAGCTCCCTGAACTGCTGACGGTATGCCTCTGGGGTTATGGCATACCTGGTCAGGATGGCCTGCTTCACTTTCTGGTAGTCTCTGCTGTCCTCATCTGGCATTGTGCGGTAGGCTTCGGCTGCCTGGCCCGCTTGCCCACCAGCAGGGGTACCTGGTCGGTTGTGCTGATGTCATGTAATTAGCATAGCCTCTCAAAATCGTGCAAGTATCCATCAATGTCCTCTGTGTCCACATCATTTTTAAAAGCGTGGTAGGGGATTTTGGGCTTCCCCTGAACAATGCGAGGTGGGGTTGGAGACCCCTCTCTGGACCTCTGGTCTGCTTGCTGCTTGGCCATTAAATACTCGTGCACATCTGCCATTATTTGTTCCACCGTTTCTGCAGGGGGTGGTCCTGGGAAAAATGCCAGCCAGCTCTTGAGTTCTTTTTCAAACTCCGTCTGTGTAGTTTCCACAGGAGGTGCTGCAGCAGCTGCTCTGTCTCCCTCCATGAGTTCAGCAACGAGGATGGCTTTAGTTTTATTGCTGGCAATGATTCCCCTTGCTTCCAATAGCTCCTTTAGTGTAGCCCGTTTCAAACGTGTATAATCCGTCCCCATTCACTGACCGTTTGGATAAATTCACATACCCTCGACCTTCGGTTTCAGACGAATAGGGATTTCCACGAATTGCTGTTCCTTTTCCCTTGTTCTTGCCCAATCTGCCGAACGACGTTCTGCTGTGTGGTTTGAATCCCGTCGCTTGCTACCAATTGTAGCAGAGTAGCAGGGGTTAATCCAAGGATTCTCCGCTGGTAACAAAGATTCAGCATGCAAACGGTAGAAAACACAGCATAATCCCTTTCCCCAATGACTAGACGTCACATAGTCTGGGAGTCAACTGGCTTTTAATGCACAAGCTCTGCTTTTATGTGTTTTTCCCATGCAAGGTAGGCAACTATCATAATTATTACAATACCCAATCACATAGTCGGTACCTCCCCCACATCTCCTCAACTTAGCTTAACAGTTAACCTCATTAAAATGTATACATTTTTCCCCAATTCTTGGATGTACCCCAGATATGAGCGGTACACCTTTAAATGGGGTACCCCCTGGTAGCCCTGATCTGGGTGAGAAACATACTCAAAAATCACCCAGATCAGACCAGGGGTTCGGGAGTTATGGAGATGCAAAGATTTGACCGACCGCAGGGGCACAGTAGCTGAAAATAGTTCCTTGAGTTCTGGTCTTGCGGTCGGTCTCTGTTCACACATAAAAAATTCCGAACGTCTATGCCATCCAGTATTAAGTCCGCATTCGGATGAATCCCCTGGTTCGCGGGATTCATCCTATCGAACGGCGGGCTGTTCGTAGGTTTTATTCGACATTTTCTGGAGGTCTTAGCGGTGCTTGGTTAGTCGAGTGTCCGGTTTGAGTTCCAGACACTCGACGACCAAACACCGCTATTCGTGCGTTTTAAGATGGCCGCCACCACGTGTTCGGCATGCGAATGGCGGCCACACAAGAATCTCACTTAACATCATCTGCATCATTGTTGCCTTCCGGTAATGAGGGGCACACGATCACATTGGGGTGGTCCCTCATTCGGTATTTTAAATTGTTTCCCGAACAGGGCAGTGAATATGGTTCGGGAACCGACTGCCTGATTATAACACTTCAAATAACAATACGGCCATTTTACAAGTCCCGAGCATAGCTCATTCGTATCCCGAAAGTCCTTTTCCAGTCCTTTAGTGGCTAGGTTTGCCACAGATGGTATAACAGAGCCCTGAGGGGGTTCCATCCTTGGTGAATGGTAACATGAGCTGCAATAGATGGTATAACAGAGCCCTGAGGGGGTTCCATCCTTGGTGAATAGTAACATGAGCTGCTATAGATGGTATAACAGCCCTGAGGGGGTTCCATCCTTGGTGAATGATAACATGAGCTGCTATAGATGGTATAAGAGACCTGAGGGGGTTCAGACCTTGGTTAATGGTAACATGAGCTGCTATAGATGGAATAACAGAGCCCTGAGGGGGGTCCATCCTTGGTGAACGGTAACATGAGCTGCTATAGATGGTATAACAGCCCTGAGGGGGTTCCATCCTTGGTGAATAGTAACATGAGCTGCTATAGATGGTATAACAGAGCCCTGAGGGGGTTCCATCCTTGGTGAATGGTAACATGAGCTGCTATAGATGGTATAACAGAGTCCTGAGGGGGTTCCATCCTTGGTGAATGGTAACATGAGCTGCAATAGATGGTATAACAGCCCTGAGGGGGTTCCATCCTTGGTGAATGGTAACATGAGCTGCTATAGATGGTGTAACAGAGCCCTGAGGGGGTTCCATCCTTGGTGAATGATAACATGAGCTGCTATAGATGGTATAACAGAGCCCTGAGGGGGTTCAGACCTTGGTGAATGGTAACATGAGCTGCTATAGATGGAATAACAGAGCCCTGAGGGGATTCCATCCTTGGTGAATGGTAACATGAGCTGCTATAGATGGTATAACAGCCCTGAGGGGGTTCCATCCTTGGTGAATGGTAACATGAGCTGCTATAGATGGTATAACAGCCCTGAGGGGGTTCCATCCTTGGTGAATGGTAACATGAGCTGCTATAGATGGTATAACAGCCCTGAGGGGGTTCCATCCTTGGTGAATGGTAACATGAGCTGCTATAGATGGTATAACAGCCCTGAGGAGGGTCCATCCTTGGTGAATGGTAACATGAGCTGCTATAGATGGTATAACAGCCCTGAGGGGGTTCCATCCTTGGTGAATGGTAACATGAGCTGCTATAGATGGTATAACAGCCCTGAGGGGGGTCCATCCTTGGTGAAGGCTTACATGTGCTGCTATAGATGGTATAACAGCCCTGAGGGGGGTCCATCCTTGGTGAAGGCTTACATGTGCTGCTATAGATGGTATAACAGAGCCCTGAGGGAGGTCCATCCTTGGTGAAGGCTTACATGTGCTGCTATAGATGGTATAACAGCCCTGAGGGGGTTCCACCCTTGGTGAATGGTAATATCAGCTGCTATAGATGGTATAACAGAGCCCTGAGGGGGTTCCATCCTTGGTGAATGGTAACATGAGCTGCTATAGATGGTATAACAGCCCTGAGGGGGGCCATCCTTGGTGAATGGTAACATGAGCTGCTATAGATGGTATAACAGCCCTGAGGGGGGCCATCCTTGGACTGCGATTCCCACAATGCTCGGCCGTTCGGTGACAGTGTGTGTTAATGTATGTGAGGGGCGCTGACTGGGACTCCTGTGAGGGAGAGACTCGCAGCGCGCGCCCACACCTTTTCCCGCCCAATTCTTGGGAGCCGCTGCCAGACTGAAGCCTCCAGAAGTTTCCCTCAGATTCTCCTGACGTCACACGATAAACAAAGTCGCTGATTGGCTGGATGAGGAAGCAGGCGGGCGGGAGCAGTTTGCTCCGAGCGTTTCCAGAAGATCCTAGAAAAAGTCCTGGCGGCGGGGTCACGTGAACGCGAGGACGGCTTTTGATTGGTGGGAGCCGCGGTCGAAGTCTGGGGAACCTTCCAGCCGTTGCCAGAGCGACGCTTGTCGTTATAAATACAGCTGCGGGCGCGGACAGAGCTTCAGTTCAGCTGAGGAGAGAGGAGTGAGAGAACTGGGAGTCGCTATTAGTTCACAGAGTAAGCTGTCACAGGGCACCTACCTGAGAGGGCACCTACCTGGCAAGACACCTACTGCTGGCAGGGCACCTACCTGAGAGGGCACCTACTGCTGGCAGGATACCTACCTGAGAGGGCTCCTACTGCTGGCAAGACACCTACTGCTGCAGGATACCTACCTGGCAAGACACCTACTGCTGGCAGGGCACCTACTGCTGCAGGATATCTACCTGAGAGGGCACCTACTGCTGGCAGGATACCTACCTGAGAGGGCACCTACTGCTGGCAGGATACCTACCTGAGAGGGTACCTACTGCTGGCAAGACACCTACTGCTGCAGGATACCTACCTGGCAAGACACCTACTGCTGGCAGGGCACCTACTGCTGCAGGATATCTACCTGAGAGGGCACCTACTGCTGGCAGGATACCTACCTGAGAGGGCACCTACTGCTGGCAGGATACCTACCTGAGAGGGTACCTACTGCTGAGAGGGCACCTACTTACCTTATTGGAAACCTCACTGGCTACTGAAGGTTTTCACCTCCATCAAGAGACCTGAACTTGCTCTCCAAGATGGCAAATAAAGCAGTGGCTATTGGCATTGATCTGGGAACAACCTACTCCTGTGTTGGCGTGTTCCAGCATGGCAAGGTGGAGATCATAGCTAATGACCAAGGAAACAGGACTACCCCAAGCTATGTGGCCTTCACAGACACAGAAAGGTTGATTGGAGATGCTGCCAAGAACCAGGTCGCCCTCAACCCTCAGAATACAGTGTTTGATGCCAAGAGACTGATTGGGAGGAAATTTGAGGAACCAGTGGTGCAGTCTGACATGAAGCACTGGCCCTTTACAGTGGTCTGTGATGGAGGAAAGCCAAAGGTGAAGGTGGAGTACAAGGGAGAAGAGAAGACTTTCTCCCCTGAGGAGATCTCATCCATGGTCCTGACCAAGATGAAGGAGACAGCTGAGGCTTACCTGGGCTATACTGTGACAAGTGCTGTTATTACTGTCCCAGCCTACTTCAACGACTCTCAGAGGCAGGCTACCAAAGATGCTGGCGTTATTGCTGGTCTAAATGTACTCAGAATCATTAATGAGCCCACTGCAGCTGCAATTGCCTATGGACTGGATAAGAGTGGGAGAGGTGAGAGAAATGTCCTGATATTTGATCTGGGAGGTGGTACATTTGATGTGTCCATCCTGACCATTGATGATGGCATTTTCGAAGTCAAATCCACTGCTGGGGACACCCACTTAGGAGGTGAAGATTTTGATAACCGAATGGTGAATCACTTTGTGGAAGAGTTCAAGCGCAAACATAAGAAAGACCTAAGTCAAAACAAGAGGGCTATCAGGAGACTACGGACTGCTTGTGAGAGAGCCAAGCGCACTCTGTCCTCTAGCACCCAGGCCAGTATTGAGATAGACTCTCTTTATGAAGGTATTGACTTCTACACATCCATCACCAGGGCTCGGTTTGAAGAACTGTGCTCAGATCTGTTCAGAGGCACGCTGGAGCCAGTGGAGAAAGCCTTGCGAGATGCCAAGCTAGACAAGTCTCAGATTAATGAGATTGTACTTGTTGGAGGTTCCACTCGTATACCCAAAGTTCAAAAACTCTTACAAGACTTCTTCAATGGCAAAGAGCTGAACAAGAGCATCAATCCAGATGAAGCTGTTGCATATGGAGCAGCTGTGCAGGCAGCCATTCTGACTGGTGACAAATCTGAAAATGTTCAAGACTTGCTCCTGTTAGATGTTGCTCCTCTCTCATTGGGCTTGGAGACAGCTGGCGGCGTGATGACTGTTCTAATAAAACGCAATACCACCATCCCTACCAAGCAAACCCAGATTTTTACCACATACTCAGACAATCAGCCTGGTGTGCTAATCCAAGTGTACGAAGGAGAAAGGGCCATGACCAAAGACAACAACCTTCTGGGAAAGTTTGACTTGAGTGGGATACCACCAGCTCCACGAGGAGTGCCACAGATTGAAGTCACCTTTGATATAGATGCCAATGGTATCCTCAACGTGTCTGCTGTTGACAAGAGCTCTGGTAAACAGAACAAGATAACCATTACTAATGACAAGGGTCGTCTCAGCAAAGAAGACATTGAGAAAATGGTACAAGAAGCAGAGAAATACAAAGCTGATGATGAAGCTCAAAGAGAGAAAATTGCTGCGAAAAATGGACTTGAGGCGTATGCCTTTAACATGAAGAGTACTGTAGAAGATGACGCTATAAAGGGCAAGATCAGTGAGCAAGATAAAAACGCCATTCTGGACAAATGCAAGCAGGTACTCGCTTGGCTGGAAGCAAACCAGCTGGCAGAGAAGGAAGAATATGCACATCAACAAAAAGAGCTAGAGAAGCTGTGTAACCCCATCATTACAAAACTATACCAGGGTGGCATGCCAGGAGCTGGACATGCTGGCGGCAACCAGGCAAAAGGTGGCCCTACTATTGAAGAGGTGGATTAAACGCTCGCCAGAGGACTCTAAACTGTTGCCAAAAGTGCTTCCAATAGCAGCGTTAACTGCACAGATATTATGTTTTTCTTAATAACTTGCTTTAGTCAAATTGTTTAAAATGTAAAAAAAAAAAAAAAAACACTAATATTTTGATAGCTTCTCAGCCAGCATTCCTGCACTTTTATAGTTATTCAAAGCTACTTGGTTAATGCGTTCTTATGGTTTTAACTCTTTACATACTATTCTATGTTCTCGATGGCTAAGCTGTTACGGGCTATGTTTTGCACAATGCCAGAGTTCCCATGATCCATACTGTAATGTCCTATATAATTGTTGCATTAGTTTGAACTAGTTTCTCTGGACATGCATAAAATGCTAGAGAAATCTTTTAGTTTACTCTGTATTACGTAATATATGTGGTTGGTTGCACGATTAAGCACCTTTTTGTGGGAATGTTTCTGAGTAATTGCATTCTTCGAGAGGGACACCTGTTTAAAGTGTTTTGCACTCCTTTACTTAAGTGTTTGATATCCACATATTTTTTCAATTCAATAAAACAAAAGAAAATTTGCACTAGTTGGTTTGTTTTGTTGTTTTTTTTTACCATAACGTAAGATACATGTTAACATTATCCTGTAGGAGTTTAGAATTCTCCAAATAAATTAGCTAGTTATCATGCATTATCACGTACTAGTGAAATATGAATGGCAAAATTAGGCTATAAAACCAAAGCTCTGATTTGATTAGTATTAAAAAAATTTCAAATCAATTATTTTTAGCGTTAATTTCAGTTCTGAGATTGAAATTTGCTATGATGTACAAGTTTAGTGAATCTGTGTAGAATATCCAGTACACCGCTGCCAGTCAGCTGCACAGATAATTCATTGTTTCCCAGGGTTAACGAATAAAGTCTTTTAAACCTACAGCTGCACATAAAAGATGAAAGAAATAATGGACATTGCGGGGCTGGGTCGGAACCAATATAAAAACAACTTACTGGGGGGAGAGGGAGGTGAATAGACTATAGGATTTGAAAATATTTAGTACTTTTATAATGTTCTCAGTGTGAAATTTCTGTATTAACAAGTGCTAAAGGTTTGTCGCTATCACAGATACATGCACACCTTTCATTCATGCCATGGAAGGCCAGTGATTGTTGGAGAGGAATGGGAGTTTGTGAGGGCATAGAAGGTATGGGTGGAGTTCGTCACTTGTGAATATTGGAACGAAGAGGTTTATTTGCATAGAAGTGCATTGTGAGCAAATGTTGGGTTACATGTATTGGCTTGTGTGAATCCAGAAGCGCATTGACATGTTTTATTAGTGTTCTCCAAATGACTACATTAAACTGCCAATGCTGGGGAAACATAATGAGATGCCAAAGCAAGAATTTAGTGTGAGTAGCACTAGGTGCAGAATGTTAAGCTTAAGGGTTAAATAGAACCAAAGACAAGCTGCTATGAACGCAGCAGCTAACCTCTCACCCCCAAGGAAAGTTACATATCCACTATAAAACTAGGACAATATCGATTGTGATGAATATTCAGGCCTGCTAACACACAAACGTAACACCTACACATTCCGAATGAACTCTGCCGCTATACCTGCATTGTAGTCTGACATCAGTCGGAAGCACTACAGACTATTGTGATGTTACATATAACAGGAGCTGGTTGAAAGGTGGCGGCACACAGGAAAGCAGGCTCTGTATTGGATGGCAGAATCCGGACAGCTGCTAATGCATTAATGGCTGCACAGTTCTATGTGTTCCCTGCAGATTGGTGCTCTCCTATACTGTCTTTACATAGATGTAGGGACTCCATGGTTGATTTTTAATTGTGATCGCTCCTCTTACTTTAGCTGGAAATAGAAACAAGCCAGAGTTACATTTCTAAGGTTGAACAGTTCTGGCTGGTTAATTTAAGAGGGACTGGTAACGGCCGAATTTGCTATGGTGTGTGATATTCATAACCTGCCAAGGTTAAATTTCAAGAAGCAGCACAGTGAATTTCTAATTACGAGTGGGCAGGAGGAAATTTTGAGACCTGTGCGTTAAGCAGCTCCATAGGTTTGCATGTTTTTATTGAAGTATAAAATCACTTGAAATTACTGAGGGATTATTTTAACTTGCTTTTCCTAAAGTCTTTAATGTAAATACCTTGTAATTTATTTACCTACACAGAGCTCACTACACTGCTACCTGAGGCTAACTGGGTCTATCATAAACCAAATATGCCGGTAACAACTCGAGTAAAAAGTATTCAATCTCACTGCATAATAAAATATAGGAATGTAATACACTTCCTGCTCGCAGGCAAAAGTGTCCTGGATAAAAAAAAATAAGGGGGCAACATCTATGTATTGAAGGACATTGCTAAAAACCCAATTTTTCACCCATGTATTTCTTTTAACTTGGAACATAATTCTTCAGAAGAAAAGGCCTGTGTGACTCCGGATTACCACATTCGGACAAATTATTAATCCGCATTCATAGGTAAGAAACTGATTTATTCTCCAGTTGCCGTTTCAGTGCAGATTAACCATATACCATAACAGGGGCACAGCTTTACTGATAAAGCCAGATAAGATGTCTTCAAACTAGAAAAATGGAACCGGTTCATTCTCAAACAAGTCCTTGTTAAACCCTTGCACCGTGCTGAAGACTGTGGTAGTCCTTTTAACGGAGTAGGGGATTGGTGCTCTCTGTGCTGCAACAATATGAATAAATGTCTACGTTAAGATGTCATGAGCTTGGTGTTCAACCAGCATCTCCATGCTCTTCACATCTGTGCACCAGAACTCTAGACGGTCTTTCATTCCCTTTATCTGCAAGGAAATATATGTATATTTAGTGTAAGAGAACACACTTTAGAGACAACAAAATTTATAGCATCTCAAAGGAGAACAGTCCCTCTTCCCAGGTTTTTTTATATTACCGTATATACTCGAGTATAAGCCGACCCGAATATAAGCCGAGGCCCGTAATTTTACCCCAAAAAACTGGGAAAACTTATTGACTCGAGTATAAGACTAGGGTGGGAAATGCAGCAGCTACTGGTAAATTTCTAAATAAAATTAGATCCTAAAAAAATTATATTAATTGAATATTTATTTACAGTGTGTGTATATGATGAATGCAGTGTGTGTGTATAAATGCAGTGTGTGTATGAGTGCGCAGTGTGTATGAGTGCGCAGTGTGTGTATGAGTGCGCAGTGTGTGTATGAGTGCGCAGTGTGTGTATGAGTGCGCAGTGTGTGTATGAGTGCGCAGTGTGTATATGAGTGCAGTGTGTGTGTGTATGAATGCAGTGTGTGTATGAGTGCAGTGTGTGTGTATAAGTGCAGTGTGTGTGTATAAGTGCAGTGTGTGTGTATGAGTGCGCAGTGTGTGTATAAATGCAGTGTGTATATGAGTGCAGTGTGTGTATATGAATGCAGTGTGTGTTTGTATGAATGCAGTGTGTGTTTGTATGAATGCAGTGTGTATGTGTGTGATGCAGTGTGTGTGTGTGTTGCAGAGCCTTGGTGGGGGGTGGGCATTTTTATAAAAAATAAAAATAAAAAATTTATATTATTATTTATTATTTTAATTTTTTTGGTTATATTATTTTTTATAATAATTTTTTTATTATTTATATATTATTAATTAATATTATTTTCATTTTTTTGTTATATTATTTTTTTATTATTATTTATTATTTATATATTATTCATTTATTTATTTTGTTGTCCCCCCTCCCTGCTTGATACATGGCAGGGAGGGGGGCTCTCCTTCCCTGGTGGTCCAGTGGCATTGGCAGTTCAGTGGGGGGAGGAGGGGGGCTGGCAGAGCTGTTACTTACCTCTCCTGCAGCTCCTGTCAGCTCTCTCCTCCTCCGCGCCGGTCCGTGCAGCTCTTCTCTCAGCTCACACTGTAAGTCTCGCGAGAGCCGCACTATGACCCCGCGGCTCTCGCGAGACTTACACTGGGAGCTGACCGAGGTGCTGCACGGACCGGCGCGGAGGAGGAGAGAGCTGCAGGAGAGGTAAGCGCTCGCTGCCAGCCCCCAGTCTGTATTATGGCAATGGAAATTGCCATAATACAGACACTGACTCGAGTATAAGCCGAGTTGGGGTTTTTCAGCACAAAAAATGTGCTGAAAAACTCGGCTTATACTCGAGTATATACGGTAAGTTTAGTTTTCCTTATTTCTATTTTACAAATATGTTTGTAAGTGCTGAAATAATAAAATTAAATCTAGTAATCAACAGCCTTGTATTTAACATCATCCCAGAAATATGAGCCTCGATCTTGGCTGGCTGGCGATCACTGATATGCTGTACCCTTGGTACTAGTCAGCCAGCACACAGAGAGACGGAAGAATAACGATTCTCCCCTAGTGCCCTGGCTGTGCCAAAATTATAATTTTTAATGTCAGTTGCTAAATCTATTATATATATTTTAAAGTAAGGTAAATAGATCATAACATAACGAAGGTTAGTGAAAATACTCCTTTGAAGTGTACAAATTAAAACTAACCATAATTAACTACAATTATTTACATGAACTACTGTCATTTCAAAGTACTGTGCACAGCCCAGTAACAAATCTTTTAGCCAATGGTGCACAAAGTACTAAAGAAAGTCAGGTGACATATCTTTCAACAAGGTTTTACAGAACAAAACGTAATTGAACTAAATCCAATTGTGTGCTATGGAAATGATGCTGCCCTGCAATCTATTTAAGGAAAGTAATACACTTCTCAAAGTTCATCTGCTTCTGCTAGCATCTCAACAATCATTTTAATCATAAAAAAAACAAAACCATACAGTGTCAATGATACAGCCATGTTTATCTATAGATAGTAAATATGCATATCTTAAAGGACCACTATAGTGCCAGGAAAACATACTCATTTTCCTGGCACTATAGTGCCCTGATGGTGCCCCCACCCTCAGGGCCCCCCTCCCGCCCGGCTCTGGAAGGGAGAAAGGGGTTAAAACTTACCTTTTTCCAGCGCTGGGCGGGGAGCTCTCTGCACGCGCATTCAGCCGGTCACATAGGAAAGCATTCATAATGCTTTCCTATGGACGCTTGCGTGCTCTCACTGTGAAAAATCACAGTGAGAAGCACGCAAGCACCTCTAGTGGCTGTCAATGAGACAGCTGCTAGAGGAAATAGGGGAAGGCTTAACCCATTCATAAACATAGCAGTTTCTCTGAAACTGCTATGTTTATGAAAAAATGGGTTAACCCTAGCTGGACCTGGCACCCAGACCACTTCATTAAGCTGAAGTGGTCTGGGTGCCTAGAGTGGTCCTTTAATACAATCATATTACATAAAAGGACAGCAGTTCTATTCCAGCTAGGAAACTTCACATCAAACTGTTGCTCACCAAGTTATATATAAAACATAGGGTTTACTTTGTGATGGGATCTTTGAGATCAACCATAAATGCGATGCCATTTGCTTGACATTATCTTCATGGATGACCTCATTTGCAGGTTTTTATTTACTAAACTGAGAATTATCAGGAATTGTAAGTCAAATTAGTGAAACTGAAAACCCAGAGCTGATTTGGCAAATTTTTCAACTTTGGCTATTTTTGTCTATAAATGTAGGTTAACGCTTAGGATTAGCCTTGCTGGTAATCAATCATATAAATACATTGCCATTTGTTTAAGATTCACACAAAATAATGATTCTTAAGGGGTTAAGAGACCAAGACTATCTTACCTGCTGAAGATCTAGAACTCGTGGTTGGACCCATGTGATGTGCACTCTCTTATCTACTTCATCAATACTGCCACGGAGAAGCCCTACTGACAGGGCTTTCATAACAAGGAGCTCCACCTGTGTGGAAGAAGAGCACAGAACATTTCACATTGAAAAGTCAAGTCATTTTGTGCATATTCTTCAAAACAAAGAAACGGTCATGTCTGCATTTTTAACAAATCCTAACAGTGGACTAAAAGTAGCTGCACATACAGACTTTAAGCGTCATGACCACTTTAAATTAGTGAAGTGGCCATGGTACTTAGAGAAACTATTTAACACGTAAAGCAATCCTGCATGCTAAAGTGTTGCTGTGGTCAGCGGCACATAAAAACAACTTCAATTTAAAAGAGAGAGAGAGAGAATACATTTTTATTTATTTTTTTTAAACTGTATGAACTTACATCATTAACATTGACCTGTGCACTCTTCGCTATCTCGTCAAAAGTGAGCTGGCGATGGTTAGCTGGGCGTGTGAATGTCATCTGAGGGTCAAAAATAGGTAAATGTGTATTATGGACAATGAGTGAGATAGAAAAGACACATTCAACACAGTATTTTTAGGTACACCTGAAGAAGAAATGTCAACAGAAACCAACAGAACATGAAAACAGCATAGCAGGGTGCTTAGCTATAGTTTGTAGTCTCCTTACTAAAATCTAATAAACACTGCCTGCCCTAATCGTCTTACCTCCATTAGACAAAGCAGCTGGATCTTCTTTAGCAAGAGGGCTTCATTAGCAGCCAGGTCAGGCTAAGTAGAAGAGAAAACAGGACAGGAAGCTGCATTAAAATGTGCTAAATTGGCAAGAATATTTGGATTCACAAAAATAGATGAAAATATGATGCTAGACTCACAAAACGAATTACAGTTGCAAAGACACATATGATTAATGTTCATCATGCTTGCTAAATATCCATACCTGTTGTCCCCAGGCAGTTTTTAAAGCTCTAAAGGTCTCCACGTTGCCACTGTTGAAGGCATAAAGTGTGTCTATCAGCCACTGTCGCTCAGAATTACGCAAGGATTCCAGCACTGGATGCATTAACTAGAAATTAGATTGACAAATTGTAACATTTAGATTGAGTCTTTAAAACAAAACTAAGCAAATAATTAGCTTTACTCACTAGTAACAGAATGTAGTCTGGCATACAGCCCTAATCTAACATTCTCTAATACTAAATTCATTATATTTAATGGCACAAAGGGCTCACCAGCTCTCCAAAGTTATAGACACCATCTCCCAGAAGACCAGCAAGTCCCAGAGTAAAGGCCCTGTCCTGCTGTTCAGACACTGTGAAGCAGAAGGATATGTTGAGATAACATGCAAACTTTATTTGTCAAACCTACACCTTGCCTGGGGCTCTGCAGCAATAGTCACCCTCCTTAACGTCACTAAAAACTGAATAGGAATTTTTTTTTTTATATTGCAGAAATAGGTGGGTTAGAAAATCATCAAAACTTTGGCTAATATGGCTGTTTCCGTAACTCTGCAAATTAAATTTAAGTGTGATTCTGTGTTTGTTTTTTAACTAATCTAAAACAAGCCAACCTTTTATGTGAAAACAAAAGAAATCAACCGTAAAATAGCCCGATAATTAGCCCCACACATTAGGTTGAAAAATTTTTTAAAGTTTATTTCTACTGGATCATAGGATAAAAAAAAAATGCTGTATGAAAAACAAAATGTGGTATGGAGATCAATTTGACAATTCTAAGTTGTGTACAAATGGACATATTTCAGGATTACCTGGTAAGGTATCATGGTCTGTGCAACCAAGGAAGCGCAGTGCATCTTTGTAGTATGAGGCATGGTTACCAATAGTCTGATAATATTTGCTAGATAAGTCATAGAAACGGCTGTGCACAGAGCTTACACCAGGAAGTGCTCCAAGCATCTCATCCACTGCCTCGATAGTTTCCTAAGGATGTGAAACAGCACTTAGATCAACTAATCATGGAGTTTAAATACTTTATTAAAAAGAACACATATTCCCACAGGTCTTTAAATAATATTAAAAAATAAAATAATGCTAAACAAAGTAATGGTTATTGCAATGGCAAACCTCTGTTGGCACTATAAAGAAACGTCACATACATACCTTTGTAGCCTGTAAGTCCCCAATGTTCAGCTTTAGGGCTCCAATAGCTGTCCTGCACAGTATAACAGCTTCATCACTGCTCTTTACCTAAAACCCATTAGATACAGAAAGTCAAATGCTGTGGACATTTAATAGGCAACGGGACAGGTTTTTCCAATATCAACGGCTCTCAAATTTTTTCTCATCCCCTCACAAAAGGCAAGTGGAATTTGAGCCAACGTGAGTTGATCTGGGTGTAGGGAAGCTGACTGGTGGCCTGGAAGCCTAGCAAACAGAGCTGTAGCAGAACAGCAGGTAGCTATGCTTCGCTTTAGCTCTGAAAGCAAATCCTGGCATCACAGCCTGTATTGATGAGCAATGTTCTACAAAACATGCCACAAGAAAGGAGTGTTTAGAGCTGGCTATAGACAAGTGCCTTGTGGCTTCCTTCAATCAATGGACATCACAGGGATCATGTCGAGGATAGAAAGCAGCAGGAAGGTGTGACATGGATATAAAGGGAGGAAAGGTAGCATAAATAAGATGAAGTAAGGTGACAAGGAGAAGGGCAGCAAAATTAAACTGGTTACTAAAACTCTCCAGCACAATATCCACAGTAATTATGGTGCCAGGAGTGACCCCATGTAAGTAGTCAAACCATTTGCTTTGACTTCCTACCTGGAGTCCACTGGCCCTGTATAACTCACTGCAATGAGCCAAGTCTGGCAGTGCAAGGCTTAAAGTGATCAGCTAACTCTCTCAGCCAATAAGAAGGTCCTGCACGCAGGGTTTAGTTATGGAGAGCTAACAGGATCTCAATGCTTGTGGGTCTCTATAGAGAAAGTGACATTTCAAAAACAAAATACTATTAAAGTATATCATAAGGTGGCAAGTAGATTAGGACTTGAAATATTGAGCCGTGTGTGAGTTCACAACTAACCTTCTCTCGGGTTTTCTCAAGAAAGCTGAGTGCTACTGTGGGATCTAGGAAAAAGAAAATATGCTTAGTGAATAAGTGCCATTTAAACATGCCTACTCCTATCGTGCATCTTCTTCCCATTCCCTGAAAGCTACTGTCCCTTCTGCCAGTTTGTGGAACACTCATGTCCTCACCTGTCATCTGTCTCACCACGTGGAGGATTATTTCCACCAGGGACAAGGGGTTAATTCTGAAAGGAAATTAAATAATAACATAAGGAGACAAATCAAACAACATCAAAACATTTATCATAAAAAAAAATAAACATAAATACGTTTAAAAATAGAAAGAAAAAAAAAGAGGCATCAGCCGAGGAACATACAGTTGCAAGAAAAAGTATGTGAACCCTCTGGAATGATAAGGATTTCTGCACAAATTGGTCATAAAATGTGATCTGATCATCATCTAAGTCACAACGATAGACAATCACAGTCTGCTTAAACTAATAACACACAAATAATGAAATGTTGCCATGTTTTTATTGAACACACCATGTAAACATTCACAGTGCAGGTGGAAAAAGTATGTGAACCTCTAGACTAATAACATCTCCAAGAGCTAATTGGAGTGAGATGTCAGCCACCTGGAGTCCAATCAATGAGATGAGATTGGAGGTGTTGGTTACAGCTGTCCTGCCCTATAAAAAACACACACCAGTTCTGGGTTTGCTTTTCACAGGAAGCATTGCCTGAGGTGAATGATGTCTCGCACAAAAGAGCTCTCAGAAGACCTACGATTAAGAATTGTTGACTTGCATAAAGTTGGAAAGCGTTATAAAAGTATCTCCAAAAGCCTAGCTGTTCATCAGTCCATGGTAAGACAAATTGTCTATAAATGGAGAAAGTTCAGCACTGCTGCTACTCTCCCTAGGAGTGGCCGTCCTGTAAAGATGACTGAAAGAACACAGCGTAGACTGCTCAATGAGGTGAAGAAGAATCCTAGAGTGTCAGCTAAAGACATACGAAAGTCACTGGTAAATGCTAACTGTAACGGATCACCTGGCACCCCAACTGGGTACCTCAGTTGAAGGATGCTCCAAGCGCTTCCTGAGGGTTTCCAGCACTCCAGCAGACACCATAACAACCGTAGACTCCATCACAGAGCAAAAACAGGAACATGCTCTTACAAGAGCATAGCAGTGAATATAGCAAGAGAGTATGCAGAGCATAGCAATCCCTTGTAGCAGGTTCCCCCAATAAGAGACGACACTCCAAATTGAGGGTGAAATAGAACTGATTTACTGGGGCTACCTGCCCGGATTTTATGCAGGTCTCCCACCTGGTAGACACTCCCCCAGGGGACCAGATGGGAAACTGGGATACACATTGGACATTGACCAATCACAAGCTTACACATTTAAATACTCCCACAATGCATTATTATGGAGATAATTGGGAAGTAATCCAATTATCTCCAAGGACAGAGGCAAAACTCCATTAGCCACATGGTAGCAAAATATAATAAAATACATAAAAATATATAACTGTGCAGCTATTGCATAAAACAGGTACATTCAACATATCCTCAGATAGCTTAGATCTGAGCGCACATTATTACTGAATGGCGCTCAGATCACATACATACAGTTCAATTGCCATGGAGCCAAAGAATAGTCACATAGTCTTTCGTTATACGAATTGGCTCCATGGCATAGCTACCTGGGGTAACACTGCTCACATAGGGAAAGTACCGAATGACCCGGCTTTCAGGTCTTTGCAGGGGAAAATCAAGCATTTCAACATGGGGCCATAGTCACAGGGCAGGAGGCTGGCAATCAGTTTTCTCCAATGCCCAGTGGCGAGGCTGGTTCCGCCACACTAACATCCCTGTTAGCGAATCTACAATATGTAAAACACTAAACAAGAATGGATTTCATGGGAGGATACCACAGAGGAAGCCACTGCTGTCCAAACAAAACATTGCTGCACGTTTACAGTTTGCACAAGAGCACCTGGATGTTCCACAGCAGTACTGGCAAAATATTCTGTGGACAGATGAAACCAAAGTTGAGTTGTTTGGAAGAAACACACAACACTATGTGTGGCGAAAAAAAGGCAAGACACACCAACATCAAAACCTCATCCCAACTGTGAAGTATAGTGGTGGGGGCATTATGATTTGAGGCTGCTTTGCTGCGTCAGGGTCTGGACGGATTGCTATCATCGAAGGAAAACTTAATTCCCAAGTTTATCAAGACATTTTGCAGGAGAACTTAAGGCCATCTGTCTACCATCTGAAGCTCAACAGAAGATGGGTGCTGCAACAGGACAATGACCCAAAGCATAGAAGTAAATCAACAACAGGATGGCTTAAACAGAAGAAAATACGCCTTCTGAAGTGGCCCAGTCAGAGTCCTGACCTCAACCCGATTGAGATGCTGTGGCATGACCTCAAGAAAGCGATTCACACCAGACATCCCAAGAATATTGAACTGAAACAGTTCTGTAAAGAGGAATGGTCAAGAATTACTCCTGACCGTTGTGCATGTCTGATCTGCAACTACAGGAAATGTTTGGTTGAAGTTATTGCTGCCAAAGGAGGTTCAACCAGTTATTAAATCCAAGGGTTCACATACTTTTTCCACCTGCACTGTGAATGTTTACATGGTGTGTTCAATAAAAACATGGCAACATTTCATTCTTTGTGTGTTATTAGTTTAAGCAGACTATGATTGTCTATTGTTGTGACTTAGATGATCAGATCACATTTTATGACCAATTTGTGCAGAAATCCGTATCATTCCAAAGGGTTCACATACTTTTTCTTGCAACTGTACATCCTAGATAGCATTACAATGAATGTAATAGTAATGTAACAGCAAATGGCACAAATTATCAGTAAACTAGCCAACCTACCTGTGCTCAAAGTCACTGATAAAGTTCTCATAGAACTGTAAAGAGATAACAGATAAATTAGTAAATTGAAGGGACACGTGAGATTCATTATGAGTAACACAAACAAGAGTAGAATGCCGAGGCCAAAAGAAAGCAGCTGTCATCTTTCTTGGATATTTTGCAAAAACCCACAAAGTTAACTGTTCCCCTTGCAGTGTGGTTTCAGGGAAAGATAGGTTTTATTTACCTTAATCTGCACATTGTGGCTGCCGCCATTTAAATCTGGTGCTTCATCTGCCAGGAGCCTCAACACTTTGCCTCTTCCTTAATCATCCGATTGGGTGGGGGGGGGGGCAAATATGCATTTTACATTTCAGGACTAAGGGCAATAGGGACAATCTTCCCAGAGGACCAGACTACCCAGATCCCTTTAAATATGTCACTTTTTAACTTGAATAATAAAAATAAAAATACAACTCTATCTGTATCATTAATCCTAAATTTTTTTGTGTCTAAGCAGTACATTACATGCTTATTGACAAGCCTGTAAACCTTTTGGGGTTATTTCACAATCTACATTTTAAAGGCAGGGGAAATGATTTAGGTTATTACGTAATTGCATGATCACCTTAATAAGTCCATTTCCTTTTGCACATTCTGGGTCCTGTACAAAATCCAGAAGCTGCAGGGTCAGCTGATGCCACAACCTGGAGGAAGCCAAAAGGTGATACTTGTTGATTTCCATTACTCCTATTACAATAACACTCTCACTCTGCAATGAACACCACTGGTAAGTACATACAGATATACAAATATATACAAATAATGGAAAACATATTTACAAAAGTAAATGCTCCGCTCTGTACAAATTCTTTGCCTTTCTGGGAATTGTACATTGTAGAAACACTTCCTCCACAAACCAGGTGCTTACCTGGATCTGAGGTTGGCTGAACCACGGTCAATAATAGAAAAACCAGGATGGTCCACGCACACAAGGTGTGTAAATCAGGCAGCATTATTGGAGAACACAGCAATGTCTCTCAAACCCGCATCACCTGCTCAACTATCACACTCCCTACTTGCAACCCCTGATCCATCTCGTCTCTCATGTGACTAAGATCCCACCTCATCTAATTTTGCCTGACTAAAAATCCTAATTTTCCTTCTTTATAATATAAACTCATTTATTCTCCTTGGAGAATGCTCTCCCTTATATTCTTTATTTTCACTCTCTAATTAGTAAAATCTCTTTATCCCTCTGCTCACACCATTTTCATTGCTCCCACTTTACTTCCCTCCCCTCTCTATTCATCTCATGCATTCTACTTATACCTTTCCAGCCTATCTCCACCAACCCTTTCTAAAACCCCTAAATACAAACCTTCTCCCACCTTCTCTTACTCTCTATCCTTCTGCTCCTAGCAGATGGTGATGTCTCTTCAAATCTGGGTCCAACCTCTGCAAACCCACCATGTGCTAACTCCAGGAATTACAATAATCTCATACCCATCTCATGTCACTTCATTTAAATCATCCTTCCATTCTGCCCTCTGGAATGCACACACTGTTTGCAGTGTTACTAAATCCACTGCTGTGCATGACCTTTTCATCTCTTACTAGCCTTAACTGAAACATGGCGCTCTCCCTCTGACACCGTTACCCCCCTGACTATCTTTTGGTTGTCTTCAGTTTCCCCGCAACCCAAGACACTGAAAGCAAAGGTGGTGTTGTAGACCTCCTCCCTTGGGCTATCACAGTATCCTAAATCCCCCACCCATGTAGCTGGCAATACCCTCGACCTCATTTTCTCTCATGAATGTACAATCTCTAATCTCTGCAACACTCCATTTCCTCTCTCAGATCACCACCTCTTATTTGCTCTCAATAGCCCCTTACCCCATCATCCTCAACCTAACCCCCTCTGAATTATATTGACCTCCAGCAGCTATCAGCTAATATTGATTCCCAACTTCTATCCATCCCTACTTTCTCCAGTCCCTCACTGGCTATCTCCTCATATAACATTACCCTCACCTCTGCCCTGGATGCTGCAGCCCCGCTCCAAACATGCACCTTGAGGAGAACACGCTCCCAACCGTGGTACACTAAATCAACACGCTACCTGCAGAGATGCTCCCGTTCTGCTAAACGCTGCTGAAGGAAGTCACACACCCAGGCAGACTTTCGCCATTATAGAGATTCATATTGCGTTCATACAGCGCAGCCCTTGCCAAACAGTTATACTTTCCCTCCCTCATTAGCTCATACTGCTGCAATCCCAGGCATCATTTTAATACCTTTAACTCGCTTCTTTCCCCTGCTGTTGCCATCCCCCAAACCAACCTTACAGCCGATAGCTTTGCATGCTACTTTACCGACAAGATTGAACAGCTAAGGAAAGAATTTTCACCACCTTGCCCTTCTATTCCTCAACCACGTCTGGATCCTACCCTTCAGACTTTCTCCCTGGCTACTGAACAAGAGGTGGCTGCACTTCTCCTTTCCTCTCACCCGTTTGATCCTGTCCCTTCTCACCGTATCAGATCTCTCTCCTCGTATCTTGTGCCTTCCTTAACACACATCTTCAACTGCTCTCTCTCTTCTGGCACTGTCCCTGCTGACCTTAAACATGCCACTGTAGTACCTATCCTGAAAAGAAAAAACCATGTCTCAACCCATCCTCCCCTTCTAACTATCGTCCCATATCTCTGTTCCCTTTTTCCTCAAAGCTTCTGGAAAGACTGGTCTTTACCAGTCTGATTTGTTTCCTCAATTCCAACTCTCTCCTTGACACTCTTCAGTCTGGCTTCCGCCCCTCCACTCTATTGAGACTGCCATTATTAAAGTCACTAATGACCTCATCACAGCTAAATCCAAAGAGCACTACTCCATACTAATTCTTCCTGACCTCACTGCTGCCTTTGACACTGTTGACCATGTTCTCCTTCTCCAAACTCTTCAATCACTCTGTCTCTGTGACTCTGTCCTCTCGTGGTTTTCCTCCTATCTCTCCCAAAGCTCATTCAGTGTCTCCTTTTCTAATGATACCTCCTCCCTTCATCTTGTCTCTGTTGGAGTCCCCCAAGGCTCTGTCCTTGGTCCCCTTCTATTTTCTCTTTATACTGCCTCTCTTGGCAAACGTATTACCTTATTCGGATTCCAATACCACCTGTACGCTGATGACACTCCTCACTGCTTGCCTTTCTCCGCCCCCACAGTTGTATTATCACTGTAATATATATTTGTGCTGTCCCCATGCTGGGTATGATTATTATACACATGGTGTGAGGAGGTTTAATCCCCCTGGTGTATTATCCCTGTATCTGGCTGTGCTGTCCCTAGGATGGGTATGATTATTATACACCTGGTGTGAGGAGGTATTATCTCTGGCTGTCCCCATGCTGGGTTATGATTACTATACATGGTGTGTAAACAATACAAAGTTGCTTGCACTCCTGGAATAGGTAAATAATGTGCCAGGTGCTGGTCAGGCAAATAGCATAGAAAAACAGAGAATGACCGCACTCAGGGACTTGTAAATATCACTAAAACGTAACTTTTAATGTTCAAAATAAATCAACGTTTCAGCCCCATATTTGGGCTTTCAGTAGGATGGTAAAAATATATATATATATATTCTCCCATTGCTGGGTATGATTAATATACATGGTGTGATAATATATCTGGCTGTCCCCATGCTGGGTGTGATAATATATAATATCTGTATTGTCCCATTGCTGGCTGGGATTAATATATAATATCTGTATTGTCCCATAGCTGGCTGGGATTGCTGGGATTAATATATTATATCTGTATTGTCCCATAGCTGGCTGGGATTGCTGGGATTAATATATAATATCTGTATTGTGCCATTGCTGGCTGGGATTAATATATAATATCTGTATTGTCCCATTGCTGGCTGGGATTAATATATAATATCTGTATTGTCCCATTGCTGGCTGGGATTAATATATCTGTATTGTCCCATAGCTGGCTGGGATTGCTGGGATTAATATATTATATCTGTATTGTCCCATAGCTGGCTGGGATTGCTGGGATTAATATATAATATCTGTATTGTGCCATTGCTGGCTGGGATTAATATATAATATCTGTATTGTCCCATTGCTGGCTGGGATTAATATATAATATCTGTATTGTCCTATTGCTGTCTGGGATTAATATATCTGTATTGTCCCATAGCTGGCTGGGATTAATATATATCTGTATTGTGCCATTGCTGGCTGGGATTAATATATAATATCTGTATTGTGCCATAGCTGGCTGGGATTAATATATAATATCTGTATTGTGCCATAGCTGGCTGGGATTAATATATTATATCTGTATTGTGCCATTGCTGGCTGGGATTAATATATCTGTATTGTCCCATAGCTGGCTGGGATTGCTGGGATTAATATATTATATATGTATTGTCCCATAGCTGGCTGGGATTGCTGGGATTAGTATATTATATCTGTATTGTCCCGTTGCTGGCTGGGATTAATATACAATATCTGTATTGTGCCATTGCTGGCTGGGATTAATATATAATATCTGTATTGTGCCATTGCTGGATGGGATTAATATATAATATCTGTATTGTCCCATTGCTGGATGGGATTAATATATAATATCTGTATTGTCCCATTGCTGGCTGGGATTAATATATAATATCTGTATTGTCCCATAGCTGGCTGGGATTAATATGTAATATCTGTATTGTGCCATTGCTGGCTGGGATTAATATATAATATCTGTATTGTGTCATTGCTGGCTGGGATTAATATATAATATCTGTATTGTGCCATTGCTGGGATTAACATATAATATCTGTATTGTGCCATTGCTGACTGGGATAAATATATCTGTATTGTCCCATAGCTGGCTGGGATTGCTGGGATTAATATATAATATCTGTATTGTCCCATTGCTGACTGGGATTAATATATAATATCTGAATTGTCCCATTGCTGGCTGGGATTAATATATAATATCTGTATTGTCCCATTGCTGGCTGGGATTAATATATCTGTATTGTCCCATAGCTGGCTGGGATTAATATGTAATATCTGTATTGTGCCATTGCTGGCTGGGATTAATATATAATATCTGTATTGTGCCATTGCTGGCTGGGATTAATATATAATATCTGTATTGTCCCATTGCTGGCTGGGATTAATATATAATATCTGTATTGTCCCATTGCTGGCTGGGATTAATATATCTGTATTGTCCCATAGCTGGCTGGGATTGCTGGGATTAATATATTATATCTGTATTGTCCCATAGCTGGTTGGGATTGCTGGGATTAATATATAATATCTGTATTGTCCCATTGCTGGCTGGGATTAATATATTATATCTGTATTGTCCCATTGCTGGCTGGGATTAATATATAATATCTGTATTGTCCCATTGCTGGCTGGGATTAATATATAATATCTGTATTGTCCCATTGCTGGCTGGGATTAATATATCTGTATTGTCCCATAGCTGGCTGGGATTAATATACAATATCTGTATTGTCCCATTGCTGGCTGGGATTAATATATCTGTATTGTCCCATAGCTGGCTGGGATTAATATATAATATCTGTATTGTGCCATTGCTGGCTGGGATTAATATATAATATCTGTATTGTGCCATTGCTGGCTGGGATTAATATGTCTGTATTGTCCCATAGCTGGCTGGGATTGCTGGGATTAATATATTATATCTGTATTGTGCCATTGCTGGCTGGGATTAATATATCTGTATTGTCCCATAGCTGGCTGGGATTGCTGGGATTAATATATTATATCTGTATTGTCCCATAGCTGGCTGGGATTGCTGGGATTAATATATTATATCTGTATTGTCCCATTGCTGGCTGGGATTAATATATAATATCTGTATTGTCCCATTGCTGGCTGGGATTAATATATAATATCTGTATTGTCCCATTGCTGGCTGGGATTAATATATTATATCTGTATTGTCCCATTGCTGGCTGGGATTAATATATAATATCTGTATTGTCCCATTGCTGGCTGGGATTAATATATTATATCTGTATTGTCCCATTGCTGGCTGGGATTAATATATAATATTTGTATTGTCCCATTGCTGGCTGGGATTAATATATTATTTCTGTATTGTATTGTCCCATTGCTGGCTGACTCCTGGACATTATATATATCTGTATTGTCCCATTGCTGGCTGGGATTAATATATAATATTGTTGTGATTGCTATATTATATTGCTGGCTGGGAGTGCTGTGATATCTATATGATATTGCTGTCTGGGAGTGCTGGGATTAATATATTATAGGGCTGGCTGTGAGTGCTATATGATATTGCTGGCTGTGAGTGCTGGGATTGCTATATTATAGTGCTGGCTGTGAGTGCTGGGATTGCTATATGATAGTGCTGGCTGGGAGTGCTATATTATAGTGCTGGCTGTGAGTGCTGGGATTGCTATATGATAGTGCTGGCTGTGAGTGCTGGGAGTGCTATATGATAGTGCTGGCTGGGAGTGCTATATTATAGTGCTGGCTGGGAGTGCTATATGATAGTGCTGGCTGGGATTGCTATATGATAGTGCTGGCTGGGAGTGCTATATTATAAGGCTGTCTGTGAGTGCTGGGATTGCTATATGACAGTGCTGGCTGTGAGTGCTGGGATTGCTATACGGTAGTGCTGGCTGTGAGTGCTGGGATTGCTATACGGTAGTGCTGGCTGTGAGTGCTATACGGTAGTGCTGGCTGTGAGTGCTGGGATTGCTATATTTCCCTATGATAGTGCCGGCTGGGAGTGCTGGGATTCCCTATGATAGTGCTGGCTGGGAATGCTATACGGTAGTGGTGGCTGTGAGTGCTGGGATTTCCCTATGATAGTGCTGGCTGGGAGTGCTATATTATAAGGCTGGCTGTGAGTGCTGGGATTGCTATATGACAGTGCTGGCTGTGAGTGCTATATTATAGTGCTGGCTGGGAGTGCTGTATAATAGTGCTGGCTGTTAGTGCTGGGAGTGCTATACGGTAGGGCTGGCTGGGAGTGCTGGGATTGCTATATTATAGTGCTGGCTGGGATTGCTATATTATAGGGCTGTCTGAGTGCTGGGATTGCTATATTATAATGCTGGCTGTGAGTGCTATATTATAGGGCTGTCTGGGAGTGCTGGGAGTGCTATATTATAGTGCTGGCTGTGAGTGCTATATTATAGTGCTAGCGGTGAGTGCTATATTATAGTGCTAGCGGTGAGTGCTATATTATAGTGCTGGCTGTGAGTGCTGGGATTGCTATATTATAGTGCTGGCTGTGAGTGCTATATTATAGTGCTGGCTGGGAGTGCTGGGATTGCTATATGATATTGCTGGCTGTGAGTGCTGGGATTGCTATATTATAGTGCTGGCTGTGAGTGCTATATTATAGGGCTGTCTGAGAGTGCTGTGAGTGCTATATTATAGTGCTGGCTGTGAGTGCTATATTATAGTGCTAGCGGTGAGTGCTATATTATAGTGCTAGCGGTGAGTGCTATATTATAGTGCTGGCTGTGAGTGCTGGGATTGCTATATTATAGTGCTGGCTGTGAGTGCTATATTATAGTGCTGGCTGGGAGTGCTGGGATTGCTATATGATATTGCTTGCTGGGAGTGCTGGGATTGCTATATTATAGTGCTGGCTGGGAGTGCTATACGGTAGGGCTGTCTGGGAGTGCTGTATGACAGTGCTGTCTGGGAGTGCTGGGATTGCTATATTATAGTGCTGGCTGTGATTGCTATATTATAGTGCTGGCTGTGAGTGCTATATTATAGGGCTGGCTGGGAGTGCTATATTATAGTGCTGGCTGGGAGTGCTGGGATTGCTATACGGTAGGGCTGTCTGGGAGTGCTGTATGACAGTGCTCTCTGGGAGTGCTGGGATTGCTATATTATAGTGCTGGCTGTGATTGCTATATTATAGTGCTGGCTGTGAGTGCTATATTATAGGGCTGGCTGGGAGTGCTATATTATAGTGCTGGCTGGGAGTGCTGGGAGTGCTATACGGTAGGGCTGTCTGGGAGTGCTGTATGACAGTGCTGTCTGGGAGTGCTGGGATTGCTATATTATAGTGCTGGCTGTGAGTGCTATATTATAGGGCTGGCTGGGAGTGCTATATTATAGTGCTGGCTGGGAGTGCTGGGATTGCTATACGGTAGGGCTGTCTGGGAGTGCTGTATGACAGTGCTGTCTGGGAGTGCTGGGATTGCTATATTATAGTGCTGGCTGTGATTGCTATATTATAGTGCTGGCTGTGAGTGCTATATTATAGGGCTGGCTGGGAGTGCTATATTATAGTGCTGGCTGGGAGTGCTGGGAGTGCTGTATAGACGGTAGGGCTGTCTGGGGAGTGCTGTATGATAGTGCTGGCTGGGAGTGCTGTGATTGCTATATTATAGTGCTGGCTGTGATTGCTATATTATAGTGCTGGCTGTGAGTGCTATATTATAGGGCTGGCTGGGAGTGCTGGGATTGCTATATGATATTGCTTGCTGGGAGTGCTGGGATTGCTATATTATAGTGCTGGCTGGGAGTGCTATACGGTAGGGCTGTCTGGGAGTGCTATATGACAGTGTTGGCTGTGAGTGCTGGGAGTGCTGTATTATAGGGCTGGCTGGGAGTGCTATATTATAGTGCTGGCTGGGAGTGCTATACGGTAGGGCTGTCTGGGAGTGCTATATGACAGTGTTGGCTGTGAGTGCTGGGAGTGCTGTATTATAGGGCTGGCTGGGAGTGCTATATTATAGTGCTGGCTGGGAGTGCTATACGGTAGGGCTGTCTGGGAGTGCTATATGACAGTGTTGGCTGTGAGTGCTGGGAGTGCTGTATTATAGGGCTGGCTGGGAGTGCTATATTATAGTGCTGGCTGGGAGTGCTATATTATAGTGCTGGCTGGGAGTGCTATATTATAGTGCTGGCTGGGAGTGCTATATTATAGTGTTAGCTATTATGCTATATTATAGTGTTGGCTGGGGAGGCTATAAGTATTATAGTGTTGGCTGGGAGTGCTATATTATAGTGCTACTGGGAGTGCTATATTATAGTGCTGTATTGAGTGCTAAGTACGGTAGGGCTGTCTGGGAGTGCCATGCACATTGTTGGCTGTGAGTGCTGTGGAGTGCTGTATTATAGGGCTGGCTGGGAGTGCTATATTATAGTGCTGGCTGGGAGTGCTATACGGTAGGGCTGTCTGGGAGTGCTATATGACAGTGTTGGCTGTGAGTGCTGTGAGTGCTGTATTATAGGGCTGGCTGGGAGTGCTATATTATAGTGCTGGCTGGGAGTGCTATATTATAGTGCTGGCTGGGAGTGCTATATGACAGTGTTGGCTGTGAGTGCTGTGAGTGCTGTATTATAGTGCTGGCTGGGAGTGCTATATTATAGGGCTGGCTGGGAGTGCTATATTATAGTGCTGGCTGGGAGTGCTATACGGTAGGGCTGTCTGGGAGTGCTATATGACAGTGTTGGCTGTGAGTGCTGTATTATAGGGCTGTCTGGGAGTGCTGGGAGTGCTATATTATAGTGCTGGCTGTGAGTGCTGGGAGTGCTATATTATAGGGCTGGCTGTGAGTGCTGTGTGATAGTGCTGTCTGGGAGTGCTGTGAGTGCTCTCACTTCTTGTTGTAGAGCTCCTCCAGCTGGTGCCATATTGCTGCGGTCTCTGGGGCTGCGCTCTGGCTCTGCTGAAGCTGTAGGTAGGCGGTCACATCCCTCATGGCTGGATCCCGAGATAAACCGACACAGGGAGACACAACCGTGCGACAACCACCACCACCGGAAGTACTCACTGCAACATGCACACTCACTTCCGGTAACAGCCGCTCACTAACCCGGAACATGATCCCCCGAACTACAACTCCCGGCATGCTCCGCGAGCTGCTATCACAGGGCCAGGGCAGAGCGCCCTCTACTGCCTGGACAGAGTGTGTGACAGAGTGTGTGACTGTGCTGGGACTGAGCTGGGACTGAGCTGGGACTGTGCTAGTCTCACCATGACAACCTGCCCAATACAACAACATGGATCAATAAATACATTAATCAATAAATAGCTAATCTTACCATGACAACCTGCCCCATACAACAACATGGATCAATACATTAATACATTAATCAATCAATAAATTAAATAATAGCCAATCACAACCTGCCTCAATACAACAACATGGATTAATAAATACAGTAATACATTAATAAATAAATAACTAGTCTCACCATGACAGCCTGCCCCAATACAACAACATGGATCAATACATTAATACATTAATCAATAAATACATTAATAAATAGCTAATCTCACCATGACAACCTGCCCAATACAACAACATGGATTAATAAATACATTAATCAATAAATACATTAATAAATAAATAGCTAATCTCACCATGACAACCTGCCCCAATACAACAACATGGATCAATAAATACATTAATAAATAAATAAATAAATAGCTAATCTCACCATGACAACCTGCCCCATACAACAACATGGAATAATAAATTAATACATTAATAAATAAATACATTAATAAATAAATAGCTAATCTCACCATGACAACCTGCCCAATACAACAACATTGATCAATACTTTAATACATTAATCAATAAATACATTAATAAATAGCTAATCTCACCATGACAACCTGCCCCAATACAACAACATGGATTAATAAATACATTAATCAATAAATTAATAAATAAATGAATACATTAATAAACAACATGGAACAATAAATACAGTAATACATTAATACATAAATAGCTAATCTCACCATGACAGCCTGCCCCAATACAACAACATGGATCAATACATTAATACATTAATAAATAAATACATTAATAAATAGCTAGTCTCACCATGACAACCTGCCCCAATACAACAACATGGATCAATAAATACATTAATCAATAAATACATTAATAAATAAATAGCTAATCTTACCATGACAACCTGCCCCAATACAACAACATGGATCAATACATTAATACATTAATAAATAAATACATTAATAAATAGCTAATCTCACCATGACAACCTGCCCCAATACAACAACATGGATCAATAAATACATTAATAAATTAATAAATAAATAGCTAATCTCACCATGACAACCTGCCCCATACAACAACATGGAATAATAAATTAATACATTAATAAATAAATACATTAATAAATAAATAGCTAATCTCACCATGACAACCTGCCCCATACAACAACATGGATCAATACATTAATACATTAATCAATAAATACATTAATAAATAAATAGCTAATCTCACCATGACAACCTGCCCCATACAACAACATGGATCAATACATTAATACATTAATCAATAAATACATTAATAAATAGCTAATCTCACCATGACAACCTGCCCCAATACAACAACATGGATTAATAAATACATTAATTAATAAATTAATAAATAAATTAATACATTAATAAACAACATGGAACAATAAATACAGTAATACATTAATACATAAATAGCTAATCTCACCATGACAACCTGCCCCAATACAACAACATGGATCAATAAATACATTAATAAATTAATAAATAAATAGCTAATCTCACCATGACAACCTGCCCCATACAACAACATGGAATAATAAATTAATACATTAATAAATAAATACATTAATAAATAAATAGCTAATCTCACCATGACAACCTGCCCAATACAACAACATTGATCAATACTTTAATACATTAATCAATAAATACATTAATAAATAGCTAATCTCACCATGACAACCTGCCCCAATACAACAACATGGATTAATAAATACATTAATCAATAAATTAATAAATAAATTAATACATTAATAAACAACATGGAACAATAAATACGGTGATACATTAATACATAAATATTAATCTCACCATGACAGCCTGCCCCAATACAACAACATGGATCAATACATTAATACATTAATAAATAAATACATTAATAAATAAATAGCTAATCTCACCATGACAGCCTGCCCCAATACAACAACATGGATCAATACATTAATAAATTAATAAATAAATACATTAATAAATAGCTAATCTCACCGCTGACAACCTGCTAATACAACAACATGGATCAATAAATTAATACATTAATCAATAAATACATTAATAAATAAATAGCTAATCTCACCATGACAACCTGCCCCATACAATAACATGGATCAATACATTAATACATTAATAAATAAATACATTAATAAATAGCTAATATCACCATGACAACCTGCCCAATACAACAACATGGATCAATAAATTAATACATTAATCAATAAATACATTAATAAATAAATAGCTAATCTCACCATGACAACCTGCCCCATACAACAACATGGATCAATACATTAATACATTAATCAATAAATACATTAATAAATAGCTAATCTCACCATGACAACCTGCCCCAATACAACAACATGGATTAATAAATACATTAATCAATAAATTAATAAATAAATTAATACATTAATAAACAACATGGAACAATAAATACAGTAATACATTAATACATAAATAGCTAATCTCACCATGACAGCCTGCCCCAATACAACAACATGGATCAATACATTAATACATTAATAAATAAATACATTAATAAATAGCTAGTCTCACCATGACAACCTGCCCCATGCAACAACATGGATCAATAAATACATTAATCAATAAATACATTAATAAATAAATAGCTAGTCTCACCATGACAACCTGCCCCATACAACAACATGGATCAATAAATTAATACATTAATACATTAATAAATAAATTAATTAATAGCTAATCTTACCATAATAATCTGGTCATTACCCCAACATGGATCAATAAATTAATAAATTAATAAATAAATATGGGGGAAATATAAACCTTATTCAAATTACCCCACCATGGAATAATGATAAATAAATAAATAAATATGGGAAAAATAAACCCTATTCAAATTACCCCAACATCGAGTAAAATAAATAAATATGGAGAAAATAAATAAATATGAGGAAAATAATAAAAATGGAGAAAATAAACCTTATTCAAACAAGATTTCCAAACGTATTACTGTAATTATACTCCTTCCCCCTAGTATTAGCGATTCCTCTGACTTTACACATCTCTCAGGGTTATTCACTAAGATGGGAAATGTTCCAAGTAAACCCTGATTTCAGCATTGCGATAATGGCCTGAAATTTGAAATTCTATTTGAATTCCCAACAATGTGGTGAATAAAGGTTTAAAAATCAGAGCTCCACAGCAATAATACTCCCAGTAATGTGTCTGAGTGTATAACAGAGCTCCACAGCAATAATACTCCCAGTAATGTGTCTGAGGGCATAACAGAGCTCCACAGTAATAATACTCCCAGTAATGTGTCTGTGTGTATAACAGAGCTCCGCAGCAATAATGCTCCCAGTAATGTGTCTGAGTGTGTAAAAGAGCTCCACAGCAATAATACTCCCAGTAATGTGTCTGAGTGTATAACAGAGCTCCACAGCAATAATATTCCCAGTAATGTGTCTGAGTGTATAACAGAGCTCCACAGCAATAATACTCCCAGTAATGTGTCTCAGTGTATAACACAGTAATAATACTCCCAGTAATGTGATGTGTATAACAGAGCTCACAGAGTATGTGTCTGAAAACATAGCTCCAGAGTAACTAATACTCCCAGTAATACTCCCAGTAATGTGTCAGTGTATAACAGAGCTGTACAACAGAGAACTCAGCACAAATGTCCAGTAATGTGTCTGAGTCCACAGTAATAATACTCCCAGTAATGTGTCTCAGTGTATAACAGAGCTCCACAACAATAATACTCCCAGTAATGTGTCTGAGTGTATAACAGAGCTCCACAGCAATAATACTCCCAGTAATGTGTCTCAGTGTATAACAGAGCTCCACAGCAATAATACTCCCAGTAATGTGTCCCAGTAATGTGTCTCAGTGTATAACAGAGTTCAATCAACACGGGGCCCGCCTCCAAATCCTACCCACAGGAATACACACACAGAAAGATACACACATACTAACAGAACAAATACTGAAACAGACATACACACATGCATAGGGAGATACTGACACACACACACACACACACACACACACACATATACATACAGACATACATACTGACAAACATACATACATACAGGCGTTCATACATACACATACATACACACACATACTGGCATACATACATTCATACACACACACACACACACACACACATACACACTGGCATACATACATATATACATACATACATACACACTGGCATACATACACACTGGCATACATATACACTGGAATACATACACACTGGCATACAAACATGGATATACCGTTGCAATCTGCCAAAAACTTCCCCCACATAGCTAAGTCAGCCTTGGCGTGGGGTTGTCCAATGAAACTGGGCAAGAGTCCTGTACCCCGTGGAGCAGGCAAAGAAGCCTGGATATAAAAGACCTTCCCTGCGGGATGATGCGCATGGCGAAGTTAAGGGATTCCAGAAGGGACTGAAGTTCCCTTCTGGTGCAAACATCATTCCACAGGAACATGTCTATCTCCCCTCTCAAGCGGATCAGTTTGTCGTGGGGAAGGCTAGCTCGGAGGGTAACAGAGTCTAGCTCTATCCCCAAAAAGTTTAATTTAGTTGTGGGGCCGGTTGTTTTTGATGGAGATAATGGTACACCAAGTGTGGAAAAAAGTGCTGTAGTACTGCTGATAGCGGTGGGTGTTTGTGCCCCTGGCTCTATCAGTAAGAAGTCGTCTAAGTAATGGATAACAGAGTGACACCTGAGGATGTTCAGAAGCAGCCAGTATAGCGTCTCGGCGAAGATATCGAACAGTTTGGGGCTGCTTCGAGAACCGAAAGTGAGTCGTGTGGAGAAGTAGTACTTTTCTCGCCATTTAAGTGCCAGAGTGAGGGGTGCATGGGTAGTAATTTAAATGCATTTGTGATGTCCGTTTTGCTGAGCCAGGGGCGACTTCTAGATGAGATAATGGATTGTATGGCGTCGT